GCCTTGCAAGCGAGTGATCCTCAAGCCTATCATGTTGATGGGAATTGATAAGGTCTCAGTATTGTTTGGCGCGCTTGGATAAGGACGCGTTTGGATATTTCTGCTATGTATTGGTGCTCTCTACCAGTTATTTTCGCTGATTATAGAGAATGCGAATGCAATTGCGGATGAAATTAATCGGGTTCTGTGACGAAGTGTCAACGTTCCACAGCTGTTGATATTTCCAGCGCTTGGTTTTCGAGACCTTAGGATCTGGCCGTAAAGCCCTCTCAACGTGCCCTGGTCTTTTATAATTGAAGATAAATAACATCTCTGCTCAGCTTGCGGCATCTTGTCCCTCCCAACCCGTTAAATGCTACTTTATACACTTCTTTAATTTCCCACCAGCAGATCCTGAATTGAAATGGACGAAATGAGCAAGTATGGTCTGTACATGTTTCTTCAATGCTTGTTTCGTGCTAGTGACTGTAATTTGGATCTCGACCTTCACGCTATCTGGCAGGCAGAAGTCTTCTGGTATATCGGCAACGCCCTCATGTCTTGCCACGGATCTGGATCCGCGACATATTATCTAGGATGAAACCGAGCCTGCAGAATATGGGACCGGGGGTCTCCCTTGAATGAATGTTTTTTAACCCCAATAACGACAATCTGTCCGGCTTCAAGTGGACGGGTCCAGATTCTCCGTTCATTTCTACTCAGACTAGCGATAATTTTTACATGTCAGCGTTCGCTTTTTTTTCCCGAAGAGGTGCAATAGATAGAGCATCGACTAGCTCGGTTTGGTTCAACATCTGGCGAGTCTATAGAAGAGCATATATTCTTTTTCCTTGGGTTGAAACGGCCCTGGGGAATCTGTGTCGGGTACGCAGGCAGGCAGTTGCTAGACACAGTCGCCCAGCATAGGATTGGTGAAATAGCCATTAGCTTCCGCATGACCTTATGGCCTAGTATGGAGCCTCTACCGCATTGCACGATGGCTATTCATGCCCTTCTTACTGTAAATACGTGCCAAATATAGAATGCTTCCATGCGGTAATTCTCTTTCAATTGCGGCTCTATCGTATTATCTCCAAGTTGTTAAAGTAAGACATAGGACAGATATGAACATGCAATGCTTCACTCTTCTCTTGCGTTGTCCAAAACCCCTAGTAGATTGAGTCTGCAAGGGTGATCCCAGTCATCGAGGATCCTAGTCAATCGACCCCGAGATGATTCCAGTGCCTGCTCAAAGAAGCGCAGCCGAGACCGCTGCTTGTCGTGGCGAAGCTGAAGTCCGTCCCTCTCTTTAGTCAGGTGTCTGCTAGCCTCCTTCAAGATCTGATTGCTCTGCTCTAGCTTCTGGCCATAGATGTGTTTGGACACGCACGACTCCCATAGGCGTCGATAGAGTCCGACAATTCGACCTGCTGGAAAGGCAAACTTGGGATCGTCGCGTTCGAGGTCTGCTAGCACCTTCAGAATAGGTTGAAATGGCTCGGTCGCCAAGGTACGTCTTGTTTCTGCTTCCTGTTGCGAGGGAGAGAGCTGCGACGGTCAGCAAGAGCATTGGAAGCTGAGCCGCCATACTTACCAGTGGAGGGGCATGATCAGAAGCCTCCTGCGAATTCTCTTTTTCAGAAACGATTGACAATGCACTGGGCTGTTGTTCTCCTTCTTTTTCCTGGTCTGGCGTGCTGTTAGGGGCATCCATCTTGATCGCAGGGGAAAGTCGAGTATCTGGGCAATAGCATGTCCACTAATTCTAGGAGGCTTTTATAGACTAGAGGACATCGGTGGCTAGGTACTCAGTCTCATTTTCACCATGAAAGTCAATCAGCGTAGTCAGCTTTTCAATCTCAGCACTCTGTTAGCAGTCCGTTTAATGATGGTGCTGGTGATCAGTCTCGTGGTGTTGATGGTTGGTGAATGTGCCTCATATTAGTGGCTTCCTGGTGATGAACGGTCCAGGAGATATATATTGAATCACAACGCATTTTCCACATTCGGTTGAGAGCTCAGAAATCCCAAAAGTAAATAGAGTACAATCTAGAGGACCGAAAAAGAAAATCGAAAAAACAAGGTATCTATCTTAACCATGATCACGAGTTCAAAAGTTGACTCCCGTCAACAAGGACGGCCAAGCTTCAACGGGTTGACGGGTTAAGTACCCGCGCCCGCGCGACCGCGGCCTGACGCTTCCTGCAGCCTAGACGGACAGAACCACACACAGCTCAGACAATCAACACTCGAGCGAGGCCAGCAAATTTCCATGTTCCTTAGATGAAAATGTGAGCGCTCTTGGTACAATCAAAGAATGAACAGCTTCATTGCCTCAATATTAAGACCGTAGATTCAACAGTGACCCAACGTTTCTTAACCGACTCACTTTGACTCATTTTCAACATGACTTTAGCATGTTTTCTCGATGAGCATCTAAGATCGCACCACGAATTTCGCTGCTAATAGTTGCGGTAGAATGAAGCCATGGGTTGCGACAGGCCTCACTTAGGATAGACATCGTGTTCAACGTTTGCTCTCTAGTAGAGCCCGCGTGCCACAGGAGCCGAGAAACCTATAAATACGTCCTCTTCCCCCAGCAATTTGTTCTCCATTACCATCACTTGGCTATGCAGAGTCGAGCAGGTCTTCGATTCCTGATAAGTTCTTCCCTTTGACCTACTGGAATTTCACTGTATTGACATCTATAGTTACATCGTGGACCGACAAGCTAGAAAGTGCTTGTAAGACGCGACGACCACCAGGTCCACTATGTCACTCATGCCAGCCGATCAAAGAAGCAGATTTGGGTTAGCTAGTCAAAGTACCTATGCGAACATCTGTCCACCATAGCAGCCGACTACTGTCCGCTCCTGAATATATCGATGCAAAAGAGCGGTCGAGGTAAGTCTGTCTCAGCGCGACCCTATCCGAGACTAGACTGACTTCAAAGACGATGCGAAACAAAGATCCATGCATTCCATCCAATATACACCAGCCACGGTGCCCTTTCCCGTGTCGTCTTTCAGAACATGTGAGTCATGCATTGCATCGCCGATCGACAAGCTAACGATGGACAGGAGACCGTTGACAGCGCACCAGACTGAGTCCGAACCAGCACTCCATCAGTGCTCCGCGCAGGGTCATGGCTTACACGCCATTTCTGGCCCTGTCACTTCAAACCATGCAACATGTCCTATGTGAAATACTGCAAACTAAGGCCGCGGGCAAACAACAGGACGCATAGGCTCCAGACGTTCGTTGTCCACGATGAAGTGAGTGGAATATCGCGCCTCTTGCTGCGCCGGGTCCAATGATTTGTGCCAACTCTGTGCCGGAGACACAAACACCACTGACATCTCTATGCGTCGTAGGAGCAGCCCATCGCCGACCGCGACAATTCTTGTGGCGAGTAACCTATTCCCGCCGAGTCAGATAAGACCCAGGGCGCGACGCGCGCCATCGCGTCTTCCCCTCCTCACCGCCTTCACACCATGAACAGCGGAGTGCCTCGACCTCTCGCTGTCTGCACGAAGCTGTCTCCTAATACAATTGTACAATTTTTTGTCACACGTGAGTTCGTCATGCGCCTTTGCCGTGTTGTGAACTTGTCGGTTCATCCAGCGCGACTTCTCGAAGCGAGAGCCGGAGAGTGTGACGAACCTGGATACAACATGGCATATTGGTGACTGTATCGCAGAACTGATTTGGCAGTGATCTTGTTGGTAAGCAGGTATGATCACGAATCTTGTTGATTATCTGTCTCAAGCATACGCTCGGATTTTTCATGAACGGCGTAAAGTACAGCACCTTGTCCAACTGAATCAACACTTGCTGACTCGGGTCTCACCACAGGAAGACGCCGTCAGATTCCCATCACCCGAATGCAAAGCGAGCAAATCTCTTATCTGCTCGACCTCCCCTACACCAATTCCATCTATGCTTTGTTTCTTCCACATGACTACTGGTGGCATCGACGAGTCGCTACCTCGACCTTCTCCCAGTCGATTTGGTTCATCAGATCATGCGTTGGTATGCCTACCTGATGCAGACCCAATGGAGCGCATAGCAGTGTCTGTCTCCCGGCATTTAAACCCTCTCATAGAATGGCCTACTTGCGGCTTGGATCCCTGGCGTCCAGTGGGTGACCATCGTTGTCCTCAGATAGCATCTAGCGTCTTTCGAGCCTGAAACCCCTAAGAGACCGGGAGAAGCCAATGCTTTGTCTAGCTAGAGCCATATTTTCGTACCGGCGAGGTTGTTAGTCGGGACTGCTTGCATGGAGAAGGTGAGGCAAAAGTCCCGTCATTTCTACCCGAATCAACTAACAATAGCCAGTCAGCTTCAAATCGATGGACAAGACCGAGGATGGACAAACGATTGAGAGGACCCATGACCCAAGAACCACGCCTGATAGAGTCCCCCTGATTCCTCTTCCTCTCCGGGTTGCTGAGCTTTTGGACATGTACGGGCGAGCGGGAACCACTCGAACATACACGGAGCTGCATGCTATCAGGATTGTTTGTCTTTTCCCTGTTAGACAGAAGCTTGGTAATTTGATTCCTAAGCCTGTGTTTTTCTATCCAAGCCTGAGCACTACGTGCAAAGCCCATACACCTTGAATGTCACAGCAGCTGGAGGTCAGTCAAGCCATCCAGTATCCTTCGTACATTGAGAACCTGTCTGACATATAGCAATTGGAGGCGCAAGCAGGTCTTGCCAGCAAACCACCGACTTCTCTACCTCCCGAGCTCACTGTCCTTTGAGCATCGATAATGTTTCCGCAAACCCATCTCGTCCGGACGTTATCTGGCATATCACTGTTCGAGCAACTTACCGTGAAGGTGGGTTTGATGTCTGCAACAGCACTACTAGAGCTATTGGGTTGTAGGACCTCCTGGACTCTCCCGTACAGCCTATACTTAATTTTCTACCCCCTAATAAGGCCTTATGCCATACATCGCTCTTAAACCGCTAAGCTGATCAACTATTCCCAGAATCATAGCTCCACTCCTGCCACGTCATGTCGCGTTGCACTCTAATCGTATTCAGCGGCACCTCATCCCCCGACGCAGCGTCCGGCTGGCTGACCTTCAACTGCACACTCTGTTTGCCCATGACTTCGCCCGGTGGACGCAAGGCCGAATTACTCACGTCATAACTCTTCAGGCCGGAACCACGTACGCCAGTCGTTCGTGTGCGTGTGCCGATCGAGCTCGCGAATTTTGAGGAGAGCATGACGAACAAGGGACGCAGGGTGGGCATGCAGGCCGAGATGATGCCGCTGGAGCACTCAATGAGACACCAGGTGCAAGCCTTGGCGAGGGTCCAGGGGGTGTCGATGGGTTGGAATTCGAAGAGTGTGGAGAAGCGGTAGGCGCTGGTGAAGACGACGCTGTGGAAGTGAGATGCTTGTTAGTACAGTCTGCTACTCAAGCTTTGAAACTTGTCTATTTTCGAGGGAGGGGAGGGGAGACAAACAAACTGCCCAGCAGAAATACCGCAATTACCGATAGCCGATGCGTTACAGTCGCATGAAGCCCCCAGACAGCGTGCACTGGCAGAGCCAAGATAGCGATGTCGGTTAGGATATTCGGCACTGCGTTTCCGATGAACGAGCCCTTGAGGTTGATGCAAGTACCCGACAGGGTAGGGTTCCAGGCCTTTGCGAGCGGGGTACACTGAAACACGCTCACGCAGATGATTGCGACAACCCATCCGATGACGATGCTGCCCAGGATGATTGCGGCGATGCGAAATCCTCTTGTGGGGAAGATACGAGCATACATGAGCAAGATGGAGATCTTAATGATTCCCACTGTCATGCAGTATACGCATTCGAAAGACATCAGAAGCTGGTAAATGTCAATTTGCGGGTCTGAATTGGTGTCTGGTTTTCGCTTTGATCGTACCTTGGCAATTATCACGATGTTTCCTTCTGGCAATACATCGGCGTGTCGGCCCATGCCAAAGTGAATCACTGCGATGTGTCAGTCACTTACAATGCACGGCTATACCTGCGAAAGGGGCTGTCTCACTCGCCAGATTAATTCCACAAGTCGCGAACAGGAAGTACTGAAATCAATCGATGGCACTTACCAACGAAAGCAGTATCACATACATACCCGTTCAAAAGTATGTTCCCACTCCACTTTTTCGGGTCCCCTCTCAAAATATATATATCACTTACACTGTATATAGCACCACCATTTTATGGTCTATAATGCTATAATTAAAAATTGAGGTTGCTTAATAATAGCACAATAAAAAATTCGCTTAATATTTTGTATAATACCCCTTGGCCTTCCGTACTGCTTTCAAACGTCTTCCCATACTCAATATCAGCGCATCTATCTTTGCTTGATCTAATGCCTTCCAAGCTTCCACTAGGCATTTTTTAAAATAAAGCCAGTCTATCTCCTTTCTTCCTTGTCCAATAAGCTCTGGAAACATTGCAAAAAGCTTCAATTTTAACCAACGCCAGACCGGTTCAATTGGGTTTAAATCAGGTGAGTGCGCGGGCCAATCCTCGACGTATACTCCGTGCCATTCAAACCATTCTTGCGTCGCCACCGCTAAATGAATCTTTGCGTTATCTTGCTGAAATACTAAATCAGGGGTATAGATTGGCATCAGACCTTTTTCAAGCGCTTTAATATACGATTTTGAAGTATAATCCCTCCCCGAAGGCGATTCTTCGTCCCGTTCCATGATAATTAATTATGTCCGACTACCTAGCCAGATTCCGGCCCAAACCATTTGCGAAATATCTTTAACGTGTACTTTAGCATTCACAAGGTCGCGGCGAAGACCTTCGGAGTCCGTACGAAAGCACTATTGTGGTCCAAAGTTCGAGGTTCGCTGCACCGAACACTCGTCCGAGAAGATCCACGATTGGAAGCTTTCACGCCGCCATTTTCGCGTAAATCTTAGCCGTTTCCTTGCAAGAGAGGGCTTAATTGGTATCTTCCTTTTTGAACGCCGTTTTCCGAGACCGTATTGCTTTAAAACTCGCTGTATAGTGGACCGAGACGGATGACCGGGTGTCGCAGCACTAAGCTGTTTATAGGTCCAAAAGGGGTGGCGGCGCGCTTGTAAATAGAGGCAAGTGGAAGCTCGAGAGCTTAGCATAGGAGGACGGCCGGTTCGGGGAAGGCTTTCAAATAATTGATGCTCCTCGAAGCGTTTCAACGTATTGTAGATCGTCCGACGGCTACATTCGAATTCATTAGCTAGCTTTGACTGCGAAATGCCGTTCTTATGGCCAAATACAATAGCTGACCTTTGCTCAGTAGATAGTTCGGCCGTTTTACGACGTTTTGAACTTATTTCCATTGAAATCGGACATGTAGGAGAGGTGTAGGAAGAAAAATAGAAAGGTGGGTTGGTTGCCGGGTCAAATTGTAGTGGGGCAGTGGGAAGATATTTTTGACTAGTATCTGTAGTCATCAGCACCAATCCGCAGGCCTTTCTTCCAACGAGCCAAAAACCGCAGAATGACAAAAACCACACCCAGAACAGTCATGGAGATGGTGCCTGCTCGATACTCTCCTTGACGACTCTCATAGATATCCGCAGTCGCCATGCTGGTCCGACTCTCGCGACGCTTAGTTAACCACGCTAAGCACCTAATCTAGTGCATGGTTCCCTGTTGAAACCTGCAGGGAAAGAAAATGAAGTGTGCAGAACTACTCGGCCCAACAGTCCACACAATATGTTGCGGTCTTCAGTACCGAAATTAATCCAACGTCGAATCACTTAATGAATCCTTCCAACGGGATTCCCCACTGCAATCTCCGAAGAAACCACTGACCAAGCAGCTGTTAAAGGCTTAGAGCCACATGGGTGGTCCAGGAACGGGTGAGGCACGTTATCGGTAGATACACCTAAATTTAATTGCCACCCATAAAAATCAAATTTAGTAGAGTCTGTAAATAAGTGTCGCGATCCGTACTGTATCCGGCCAATTGGAGATATCAATGACTCTGTATTTCCATTACCCCTATTTCTCGCTATTTATGGGTGTCGGAACGTGGTCGTTACAGTACGGACTAGTACGGGCATAGCCAATTGAGTACTTGAGAGTGTTATACTATAGAAAGTGCAGAATAAATAGGGGATGAGCTTAGCAAGGTCGTTGAAGCCTTAATGATCATCAGGCAGAGGGGGTGCTGAATATTCTCGGGCGCACTAGTAACATTTCGACCCTCTTTTGTTGACATTACCAAAAAGTTAAATCAGTTTAGCAAGCTGATTGGTCAGTCACTATCGTAGATCTGGTCAGCTTTAATTCCTTCTAGAACGCCTCAAATCTCAATCGGGAATTTGGGCTCATTGAAGCGAGGGAACTTTCGTCTTTGCCATTGGTGGCTGATAAGGTCCTATACCGCGTAATACTGGTCGACCCCTATCTTTTTGACCTTTTTGCGTGCAGCGTGTGCATTCAACACGCAAGCCTCACATTGCCACCCAAACCAAGAACGCTAGCCCTTCATGCTTATAACAGCGGAGAAGGCGAAGGAAGCTACGATGCGAGAGACGGGTGATTGCATTGAGGAGGGGCCGTGCTTCCACGCCCTCCACGAGCAGCTGGACATGGACCAGCTCCCCTTTGTTCTCACGGTGCCTGGCGAGAAAAATATGCCGCTTGGGGAAAATTTCGATGCCCTTCTCATAGTCAGCATATGGGTCTAAAACTGGGAATTGTGGCCTGCGAGAGGAAAGAGACCCGGTGTGGGAGAGGGTTGTGTATGGAGTAGACTTCCACTCTGAGATTTCAGGGACTGACAGAAAGCCACAGCGCATGTTTCTCCGAAGCTAGGCGGGGAAAATGGCGGAAGCGATGGCTACGAATAGGCTGATGATGAAACAAAGCAGCCAGCTTGGCCTCGTGAATATTAATGCCGCTTGAACTCGAGCGCACTGTTCACTGTCAATTCAGCTGTGCCAGCATTTCTCGACATCGGCGCTGTCGAATATATCTTGTGATAGGCCAGAAAGAGGACCCAGCCGATTTGCAACAGCTCTCATTGCTGATGTAAGTTGCTCACGGAGGCAATTCCGTCTTAATTTTAACCCCAGGCCCAATTCGCCGAGAAAGTTGTTGCGGGCATCCGCTCTGGATGGCGGCCCATTTACTGAAGACGGAAGCACGAGGGGTTCTTGCGCTCATCGCCCGATGTAAGCCTCATATAATGCACATTCTGGGAATTGGAACTGAAAGATCACAGTTTCAAATCGAATCTCCGCTTGATGCACTATCCGACTGCGAAGAGGAGACCTGACTTGCTGTAGCGTTTACGAAGGGCCTCGCTCTTTGACTTGGAATGAGAACGACTATAGTTGACTCTAGATACAAGACGTAGCGCAAGGCAGCAGAAGGAAGGTAGCTTCCTCGCGTTCAGGAAAACCCATATACAGTGACTGGCCATAAGTTTTGACATCCTCCTTAGACCCACTTTCATACCGCTTTTCTCTTTAGCCGACACCGCCTAGTATGACACGCTAGCTACGCATCGCTATTTCTCGCGATTTTAGCCATTCTAGCTATTTTTATAATACTATTTCCATGAAGCTTACCTTTCAAAACCTGCTATTTTGAATATGGCTCCACGCTCAGAACTTACACCTGCTTTACGCGAGAGGATCTGTAAGCTTCATACGGTTGCTCATTGGGGTTATAAACGTATCCATAAGAGATACCCCTGGATTTCACTTTCGGGGATCCGGTAAACGATTTTTAGAAGAGCATGAAAGACGCGCTGGTGTCTCAAAGCCGCGTGCTGGCCGACCGAAGAAGCTTAATCAAGCCGATAAGGTACGCGTTTAAGATACGATCCACCGGAACCCTCGCGTTACACATGAAGACCTTCTTACTGAGGTCTCTTATAAAGTGAAAATGAAATCAACTCGACGGCTTTTGAACGCTGAAAACCTCCGGAAATGGTGATGTAGCTGGCAACCTTATTTAACTGAGGAACATGCTTTTAAACGGCTTCAATGGGCTTTTCGCTATCAACACTATACTCCTGAAGATTGGGCTCGCGTCTTTTGGTCTGATGAATGTACGGTGGAGCGTGGAATTGGTGTCAGTCGAGAATGGACATTTACTCAGCCAAAAGACCAGCCAAAACTTGGACAAGTTCAAGGCCTTCCATAACGGGGAAAGCAAGTTAAGCAGATGTTTTGGGCTGCTTTCTCGGGCGCTACCCGTCGAACTGATTTGATTCCGCTATTCGGCGATCCAGAATCAGAGCGTGGAGGTGTGAATAGCATCGTTATCCGGGAACTATACCTCCGAATCCTATCTACCCTAATATCGAACGAAGGGTCGATTTTTCAGCATGATAATGCGCCAACGCATACTGCCTACGTCGTCCGAGAAGCTCTACGGGACTTGGAGAGTGAGGCCACAGACTAGCCACCGCATTCGCCTAATTTAAACCCAATTAAGAACTTCTAGGCGTTCATGAATCCCGAGATCTATAATTTTCGGCCTAATCTTATTGATATGAAGAATAATAAGCAGACTAAGGCTATTTTAGTGGCAACGGCACAGATTGCATGGGACCAGTTAAACCTAGAGCACCTAAAGCATCTCCCTCTGAAACGATGCCGCATCGGGTGCAAGCCATTATTGATAGCCGTGGATGGGGTATACAAAGTATTAGTTAATAGCATTGAGCTTTTAACGTATTCCACACGCGAGTGGATCACCGCAAAACGCATAATAAATGCGATAAATTACCGCTTTATATCTTAACAGCAACGTTTTTATTTTATCTCATTGCTTACCGATAGCTATTGATAAGACTTATAAGCACTATGTTTCAGTTTTAAAGGAATCAAAACGCCATCCTATCATCATGTCGAAAATTACTGAAAATTACACCGCTATGAGCTAAAAATATATATTTCTCAATCACGACGTCATAAGAATTCTCCAAAACCTCTAAAGAGGCTAGAT